CCAGACTATTCTTGGTCATCCAAAGAATTAATTTGTACGCATAAACTGACCAAAAAATCCATAATTAAAATATCTATATTGTGTTTTGAGTAAAATCTTATATTACGACGCATGCTATTTTTACAATTCATAAATAAGTACCAACTACAAAGAGATTAATGCAAACTTACCACCAAGATCATTTTTTATGTTTTATTTTTTATACATATATCTGTATCATATATGAACTACTATAAGTATAATTTATAATATAATACTAATAAATATTATAACTAAAATAACATTTATAATCAAATAAATTAAAATTATATAGACTTTAAACTTGCATAAATATTAAATACCAAATTTGTGGTACATTTCACTAACATCAATTGGTATAGAATTGTATGAAATTGTGTGAAAATTGATATAAAAATGGGATTTTGGTGATGATGAAATGCTCTTTACCGAGCAACAAATTCACACCCAATTTATTGAATAAACATGTTTGATGAAATTATACACATAAAAGAATAATAAGTTTTGAAATATTATTATAGGGTTTTTCTTAAAATAAAAGCGAAATCTAGATAAATATAAACAAAATAATCTTCAGCTCATTGGTAAAAGTTTATTGATAATATTAGATGACCCGGGTTCGAATCTTTCTGACTAACAATTTTACTTAATTTTTAATGACTATACAACTTGTATTGGTTATTTGATACCCTTGGGTTATAGATGCCCACCCATAGAGTCGGCCCTCCATTGATAGATAAAAAAGTTGATATATCTAAATTTAATTTTGGTATGCATTTTTTTTTATTAAAACGTGTAAAAGCAGGTGTAGATGAAGAATTGCGACATTGAATACCTCCAAAAAAGAAAAGAAAGGAAAAGTAAGAAAGTGTCCATCATATCATCTCCAAGACCATTGCAACGATTTTATGATGAAATTATAAGATGTACAAAGTTAAGTTATGATGGGATTGAAACAGTATTGGAGAGATAAAACCTTCAAGTTAATATTGAGAGGTGGGTAAGTACGGCCTCACGTTTCAAACAAATCCCATTTGGCCAAGGCGTTGCCAACCAGTTATAGTCTAAGGTACAAAAAAGGAGGAAAAAGGGTAGATAAATAATAGGAACATCATTGAACTTAGAATCAACTTTCGAGTACAAATTAATCTTTTTCAATGATCTATTTATAAATTATAATTTCATAAAGAAATGACAATAAAACTCGTATGCACCTTGATACAAAACGGAAGGATGTGAATTTCATGGGTAGAATTTGATGTTATTTTCTCGAGAGATTGAGAAATTTGAGGAGCATGACATTTAGAATGTGAACATGACATCTATATACCAAAAAATTAAAGAAATAATAATTATTTTAAAGTAATATTTATATTTTGAATATTGATGTCATTATTGTTATTAATTATTATCTATAACAATAATTATTCTACAATCTACTTATAATTTTTTTTTATTTAATGATTTTTTTATAAGGAAAATTGCACCAAAATGGAACCAACTTTCACCTAATTCCTAATTTTGGGTACCAACTTTCAAAATCGTCATTTAGGGGGTCTATATCAAACTTTTTGTTTATTTAAGGGTTTGGTAGACATGTTGACCTGTTAATGCTGATATCATCCAGATTTTTTGTCAACTAAGATATTTCACGTCATATTAATTTTTATTTTAAAACTAATATTTTACGTCATATTTAAAATTGCAAAATAATTATAAAAAAAATAACTAAAATTCGTTTTTTTTTTAAATAATGCAATAAAAATCTATTTTTCATTTCAAATCTCGTTTTTTTTTTTAAATTCAGATATCAAATTGAAGATTTTTTCAAAAATAATCCAAATTACCACAATAAAAATTGTTTTTTACTAATGCAATTAAAAAAATAATTTAATAGAAAAAAAAATTAATTGATACAATAAAAAGTAAATATTAAATCAAGATTTTTATATCCAACCAATCCGTATCAATATAAAGTTTAAATCAAATTTGGCAAATCAAACCAAAAGTTTGATAGATTTAAATTATTAGTTACCTGTTCGACAGGTCAATCAGACCTTTAAATAAACAAAAAGTTTGATAGAGACTCTTAAATAACATTTTTGAAAGTCAGGTGAAAATTGGTTCCTCAAAATAGGAATCAGGTGAAAATTGGTTCCATTTTGGTGCAATTTTCCCTCTTCTATATTGCACATTTGGAATTTGGAAATGTACAAATCTATCTATATATCTTTACAAGAGATTAAATAACTATCGATAGTTTAATGATTTATAATCACATGCACATTTTTCATTGTTATTTTTTTTTTTAAAGGCAAAAGGAAAGACAAGGAAGAGAGCTTCGGCATGGCCATCACCCTCACCAAGCCAACCACTATATTAAAACAAAACAAATCTAACAAGAAGCTAGATACATGAAAAATACAAAGATACCAAAAACACAAGGGGCAAAAAGACGAAACCAAGACATCCCCTTAGAAAACCAATGTAAAAAAACCTATCCCAAACAGACGGGATGACAAAATCAATGAGACTAAATAAAATAAGGAGAGGAAGACCAAACTTCCCAATTAAGATGGAATTTACGATTTCTGTTTCCCATCCAAAGCTTCGAGACATTTTGAACACAAGGGAATGGATCTTCACCTTTTTTCTTGGTTTTCACCTCATCCTCAGCATGAAGAATTTCGTTCCGCCACTTCCAAAGATGCCAAAGAGCCACAACGCAAACTGATAAAAAAATTATACCAACCTTGCGAAGAGATCCTACTTGTTTGATCAGCATTTTAAAATCAGCCACCGATGAAAGTCGTGGAGCTTTAAGATCCCACCAAGCCCAAATTTT